AGTGCCTTATTGGAACTGAAATGTGCTGTAAGGGTAAAATAAACTAGGTTATTTACATGTTAAACTTTTTAAATATTGTGTTGAACAATATATGCTACTAAATTGTGCCTGTTCTTTTTATTAATGTGGGAACTAGACCTTACATATGTGGCACACATATTTCTATCGGGTAGTGCTATGCTTTAGACATAGGAATATTGCTATTTTTGAAAAATTTGAAAATTTCAAGTTAAGGGAGTAGATACTAAACCAAGATTATAATACTTTCCTTATAAACAAGAACTGTGTATTTTATACCTAATTTGGATTTACAACTGGTTGAACAGACCCCCAAATAATCCTAATAAAAAGGATGAACATGTGTAATGGTGGAAAGTTCTAGTGTTAGTGACCATAGAAACAGCAGATGGTGGGAAATTGTAGCAACATGCCAGACATTTTTTAAAAATACTTATTTTTTAAATTAAACTTTTAATTTTGTAAGAATCATAGATTCATATGCAATTTTAAGTAATTCTGCAGAGAGATCAAGTGTGCCCTTAATCCAGTTTCCCCCACTGGCAACATTAACAGTAGTAAGATATGAGCATATTGACATTAGTGTAATCCACTGATCTTTTTGGGTTTCTCCAGTTTTACTTGTAATCATTTCAGTGTATGTTTCCTTCTAGGCACATTTTTATTGTTTAGGCTTCTGAATCCAGCACCACAGTCATGCTGTATTCCTTTTTTATCTCAGAGTAATATTTCAATCTTCAGCATTTTTGCAAACCTGTATATGACCTGAAGCTGGCAATGATAGTAAGCCCGTATTGTTATTTTCCAACTGAGATCGAAAATAGATATCAGAAACAAAGGATGAACTGCATTGATGATGTATTATTCATTGATATAAAATTTGATATAAAAGATTCCAAAAAAAATACTGTAATTTCAGATGGATGTGATGTGGTTTGATAAAAAGTAAAATGAAAATATCTGAGGGGGTTCAGTTTGTAGTGTCTTTAGTGTGAGTCACAGTATGATTTGGGCTCTACTAATAGAAGCATAATGACTGAGGACTATGATTGGCCCACAGTACTGAGTTCATCTCTGGGTACCTTAGTTTAAGGGTAAACATTTAAAAACAGAGGTGTGATGGGAAGGTAATAGCTACTCAGCAGTAGATAAAGGCAGGTGTAAGAGGAGTGGCCTGCCTTGAGAGATAATCACATACTTGTCACAGATGTTAAGGAGAGACTGGATGAACATTAGGCAAGAACATTGTAAAAAATATTTTAGTATCACTTGTTGGGGATCTGGAGGTGGAGAAGGTACTTTATGTGTAATACCATTGTGGATCCTCTACACTGAGATTTTATAACTGCAGAACACTGAATTTTTGTATTTTTTTAAAAAAATTTTTTGGGGGGTATCTGGGATCCAACTCACAACCTTGCACTTGCTAGGCAAGTGCTTGTGCCGCTGAGCTAAATCCCCAGCCCCCAGAACACTGAATTTTTTAAAAAAAGTGTTAATAGTGGTTGTATGACTGTTGCTGTTATGTATTTCTATATTTAATTTTACCTTTTACAATGAATATGTATTACTGTACTAAAACAGTTATAAACAAATACACTTCTGCAAATCAAAAATTAATATTAAAAAATTTCAAAAATATTTTAGTAAGTTAGTAGAAACCCTTTTAGTTTTTAAAACCCTTTTATAGGTCCTGGGTCTCGGAAAATGGTACTCCAAAGCGAAGGTCTCAGAAGCAGAGTTTCTCTGTGATCTTCTGTTTTCCTGGCTCATCCCTCATTTTCTCTCAATGTAGGCCACAGAAACTAGAATTCCTCTTCTCCAAAGCAGGTCATAGAAACCAGAACCCTTTTTCTCCAAAACCTACCATAAACCCTGAAAATATGACTAATTTTCTGCCACCTTTGTCTCCTGGGCTGGCCATAAAAAATATTCTCTGACCTGCTTCTTCTGAAGTAGTTCACACACCTCCGTTCCACAGGGGTCTTTCCTGGTGCCTGGGAGGAAGAGGCCAGGAAGCAGACAGCCTTGCCTGTTGGCATCACAACGTACCTTTTTATCCAGTCAGACTTCTACATGGCTGCCATGCTTACCTTTGGATCTTTAATCACTTAAAATTATGATCAAACTAAGTAGTTATTATTTTTCCTGTCCTTTCTTCCAGTCTAGAGGTTTTGGCCACGGCTTTTTATGATGGGCAAGAAGGGAATCACCTCCTTTTCTGCCCCTACACATGTATTGAGACATGTGTACATGTGGAGGTAGGACATGTGGATTTGATTTATTTTATTTTACTTTATTTTGCCTTTGGAAGACTAATTTTCTTTCTGTTTACCCTTATTCCTTTCTCTAGTTCTTTAGATGGTGAGAGAGAAATTTGGTTGGGCTTTCATAGATCATTTTGCTTGCTTAGATTTACCTTTAGCCTCCAGGTTTGGATCATTAGGTAACTAAGTATTGAGATCCTGACTACTTTCTGTGATTCATTTCCTCCCCCGGACTCCTGCTGCCTAGAAAACCCATACTGTGTAAAGGCTGTTAGTTCTAAAAGGAAATGTGAGTGGAAAAAACTGTTGTATTTTCTTAGGAAAATATTTCCTCTAACGCAGACATCGTTTTTTCCCCTCAGATGGAAACCAGAGACCAAGTGCTGGCCCTTCGGGCTGACTGGAAAAGCCAACACTATGACCCATCCTTGCCTCTAGGAGTTGTTCAGGAGAAATGTTGCTAGGCTGCTTCAGTAAATAAGTCGTAAACAGAAGCTCTGGGCCTGTCTGCTCCCTTCACTATCCCTAGTGTTAGATTAAGTTTTCACTTCTCTAAATGTTGTAGTTCCCTCACATACTTACAAAAATCTTTATGTTTATCTTATCTATCTATCCTTCTGTCTATCCTTTTATTGTTGCTTGAGTCAGGCTTTAAAAAGTTAAATGGGGGGCTGGGGATTTAGCTCAGTGGCATAAGCGCCTGTCTTGCAAGCTGGCAGTCATGAGTTCGATCCTCGGTACCGATAAAAACGAAAAAGACAAAATATATATATATGTATGTATATATATAAGTTAAATGGGGAAGTGACAGCAGTTGACTGGAGTGAGCATTCCTCAAGTTCTGCATTGTGATCAGGTGCTTTATTGTATTTTTTTAATTAGCAAATCTCTGTTTATTAAATAGGTACACTGATTAAGATTCACTATATCTGCATAGACTAGTGGAACTGATAGAGTTTATTATCTTAGAGTTAACCTGGACACTCATAGGACCTTTTCAAAATAAAGATACAGGTTGGTTTTTTTTTTTTTTTAATATTTTCTTAGATTATAAATTTATCATTTTTAAAATTTAATTTTAAATGTATACATAAAAATATAAAGTTGTGCCTGTTAATGGGGCTCTCACATGTTTTGAAATCTGTAGCATTTTGTCAACAGACTTTTTTTCATAGGCTTCTTTAGTCTTTGCTTAACAGTGCCTTTTCGATAATTTTTTAAAAGGAGGCGTGTAGCATATAGCCGTTTAAATAACATTGTTGCTATCAGCGTAGCACTGTTGGATGTTTGCCATAGTGGTGTTAGGAGAAATTGTTATGCTAGCATTTGGTTAAAGAGCTTTAACGGGCAGACTTTGTCTTCAATGTTTATTCTGGTTACAATTCACTACAATGTTCCTCAGAACTTTTTGGCCTTATTAATGAAAGATGTAGGGCATATAAGATGTGGCTTACGCTCTAAATGACCATAAACATTTGTCTTGAATGGAACTCTTCATTTATTTTCTCTAAACTTAGGGTTTTTTTCCCAACCAGTAGGAACCATAGTAGTTGCTAGTATCATGGTAACCTGCATAGCCCAAACTCTACCATAATCAGTTTGCATTCTCAGATGTATTTGCCTTTAGGTGTGTGTAATTTTTGTGTGTATGGGCGTTGGTGTTAAGGATTGAACCTAGGATGTCACGTTGCTAAGTGTACATCTTGCCACTGAGCTGTATTTCTAGGTATTTTTAAAGAGCTTTCTTGGTGATCTAATTTGTATATCATATGGTTTACCCCTTTAAAGTGTGATTGTAGAGTCATGATCACCACAGTTAATTTCAGGTCATTATCACAAATAAAAGAAACTCCATAATCATTAATGCTGGTTACCCCTTTCCCTCTCCCTTCCCTTCACCCTGGCAATTGCTTGTCTACTTCTGTTGCTATGCATGTGCCCATTCTGGACACATTAGAAAAATATTCCTCCTGTCTAACTGTCATTATATATTCTTTGACATTATATATATCGTCTCCCTCTTCTACCCTTTCCCTTAACCAACTAAGCCTGTGTGGTAAACTACCGTTCTCCTTTCTGTTTCTAAGAGATCAACTTTTTTTTTTTTAATTTGATATATGAGTGAGACCAAGCAATATTTGTCTTTCTATGCCTGGCTTATTTCACTTTATATATTCTCTAGGTTTATCTGTGTTGTCACAAATGACAGGATTCTGTTCTTTTTTTGACTGAATAGTATTCCATTATGAATACTGTACATACCACTTTTTGGGGAGGTGGTAATGGGGATTGAACTTGAAATTTTTCTGGCTCAGTCTTCTAGAGTTCTGAGTTTCCAGGTGTATGCCAGCACTCTGGGCTTCTGATATTCACATTTTCTTTATCCATTTAACTGTGGGTGACATATACGTCAGTTTCATATGTTGATTATTCTGAATAGTGCTTGCAATAAAGATGGGAGTGCAGATGTCTCTTTGATATATTAATTTCATTTCCTTTTCTATGACCAGGTGTGTTAGTGTCTTTGAGGTATGGAAACAAAGAAGGGTAATCATTAATGTGATAGTAGAAACTTAGTGAAGGCTGTATAGGAACAAAAGTAGTAATATAACTGAGCAGGAACCTCGATTCAACAAAAATTTTGTTTTTAATTATTATTCTATGCTTCTGTGTCAAATGGTGACTGCTAACCTTTGGTCCCAGCCTTGAGACAGCACATAGAGTCGTTCTAAGGGTTTTATAATTTTAAACTTAAAGGGAAGGAATTCAAGGAGTAGCCTTTATCCGTATGGTATTCTATATGAATTCCTTAGAAGGACCATTGGCATCTTTCCTCCTTCTTTGCTTAGGTTTGTCCTGAAGTTCAAGAGTGGACCATCTCTGGATGCAGGCCTCAGGGCACCAAGCTGTTTATTACTCCAGAGCAGCTCTGTTAAGTCTCCTGGTTTTCACTTGGCAGGGTAGCAAGGCTGAGCGGTGCACAGGGGGGGCATCTTAGACAGAAGTGCTGCTTCCTGGTCTTCAGGCCTTCAAGCTGCTGGGAGTGCAGCTGGAGAAATCTTAGAGGAATGCCGGAACCTAAACTAGATCTGGGGAGAGAGTTAACAGTCTGTTATAAATAAAAACTATTGGAAAAGTTTTATTCTGTAAATGGAAAAAGGCTTATAGTTACAATAATCAAAGGACTTTATTTGGGGAGAGAAAGTTGGGGAAAGTTACATGAGTAAGTGACCTGGGGCGCTGAGAAAACTTCCCCATTCTTCACTCCTTCATTGCACAGCAAACAGATAAGAAGGGGTTCCGGGGCTGGAGGTGGTTCTCAGAGGAACAGCACTCACCAGGCTCTCGTCAGAGTCTGGGTTCAGTGTTCAACATGACAAAACCACAACAAAGTCGCCTCCTGGCATGAGGAGTAGCAGGAGTCATGTATAATAACAGTGTGCGCCCTGCCTATTGGATTTAGCGTGTGGATTGAGCAAATGTTAGAGGAGAGAGTCATTTTCCTGTGGTTTTTGCTGTTTGTCTTAGATAAAATGGGGCAGCAAGACAAAGAGCCTTTCTTGAAAGTTGATAATAAGCAAAGAAATGTGAATTCTTACTTGTCTGAGGAAAGGAAATGTGTGCAGATAGCGTGGCACTGGCATCCAGCCTCTTAGTTCGGTAGTTAAGGGTATAAGTGACAGAGTGTAAGGAAATGTCAGTGGAACATACAGCTTCTTATCTGTGGGAATTCTATATTTGGCACAGTTTAGAATGGTCCTCTGTCTGCTGAGAACCCTTTGCGGCTTGTTGCCTGGAGAATAAAGCTTAAAGTCTGCCGGCTGGCGTGTTGAAAGCCTTTCATAGTTTGAACCCAGTCTCACCTTTCAGGCTCCTTATTTTCTCCTCTCCTTTTTGCAACCTAGGCTTTGGCTTTTTGATGCTTTGACTTTGTTCGCATCTTTTGTAAGAATGTCTTCGTGCTTCTTTTCTGTTGGTGAAAATGCCAATCTTCAAGCTCCCAGCCCTTTTGTTTACACTGTTACTGGCACACTCTTTTCATTTAGAGTCAAAAATATGTTTGGGAGTGTATTAGAAAGCAAATACAGTGTTCACGTAGAGTCTAAACACTATGACTTCAGTGTGCCACAGCGATGTGTGCGAAGCGGATGCACAATGAACTGTAATTACTGAATAGAGGCTCTGAATTGGAGAGTCAAGGTATAATATACCTTAAATTTTTGGACTATTAGTGAGTAGTTGACCCCACTCCTACTCCGCTCCACTCCAAAAAACAAAAGGTAAGAGTGACTGTATACATTGCTGTGAAGTTCATGTCCGAATTTCAGGTAGACCATTCCCTTTTATCACTTTAAAAATAACATAGGAGCTTATTAAGCCTAGGATAAGTTGAATCTTGTTAAACTGTATAACATCAAATAGGATTTTAAAAATTGCACTGGGGATTGGAATAAAGTCAGATTGTGTAAATGCTCTTTTTCTTTGAATTCTAGTTTAAAAGTATTAATATCTGTTCGGTGTGAACTTAATAGTCTCCCTTACAGTAGTCGTTCAGGCTTCTGTGTTTCTGAACATTTTCCATTGTAAGGAATCCAGCGTCTCACGCGCCCACAGTCAGACTTTCTGCAGTAGAGTTTGGGGTCTGGTTAATCAGTCTCTTACCTTGAGAAGCAGGCCAAGTACATGACGTTGGCCAGTAAAGAAAATGAAGCTTTACTCTGGCCCTCCATTTGATCTGATCACTGTCTTCTCCCAGTTTTGAAGTGGTAGTTTCCTTGTTTACTGTTTTGTTGCCACCAGAAAAGAGTGCTTTCCTCATCATTTTTTTTCCTTCTGTTGTGAAGGTTCTTTTCTATTATCCCCAAATAGGAAGCTCCGTAATTTGTGAGTCTAACAGTGAAATGACAGAACATCTGAAGAAGCGATTTTTTCCAATTCAAACTTATTGCTTACCAATTTTGTTGGAATGCCTTAACAACTAGCCTCAAAATTCTGATTTTTTAAAAGTCTGTATTTCTGACTTCTATTTTATTCCCATGTGTATTTTGCATACTGTTTGTTTCTTGGATTTGTGACTTTCATTCCAGAGAGGTCATAAAAGTTAATGTAGTACAAGGATGAGTTCAAAGTAGAAGGCGCTGTGAGTCATTCGTTCCTGTGCTGGGGGCCAGTGTGCTGCTGGTAGATGTGGTTGTGTCTCTTAATGAGCTCTCTGTCAGCACAGCACAGCACAGCACAGCACAGATGCCTTCAATCCAGTCGAGGCTGGGAGGAGATGAGAGTGTGATTCTGAGGTAAAAGCTTTCTAGATCTAGTAGGCGACACTTCTTGGATGTATAAAAAGATTCTAGTTGTATTTCACAAGAAGGCTTTTCCAGCATATGTCAGTAGTCGTTAATAAAATAGTAAAGCATTTACTTATTCATGTATTTCTTTTTCTCCTCAGATACAACAGTTAATGACTTTAATAATTGAGGTATTGAGAGCAACATTTAGTGGTCTCTGGCTAAATACAGGTTTCAATTAGCAGAAACAAATTATGTTAAAAACATGTCCCTGTGACTTATGGAAGTTTATTGAAAAGGATAAACATGTAGAACAATCTTCTTTTGATAACAGAAGATACTATTTGCATGCCAGGTAGAATAAAAGGCATCTGTACTGTGAGAAGTGTTCATAGTTCTTTTGGTTGGCATCATCACTATTGACATTTCCTGTGTTTCTCTTCCAAGTTGATTTTGATTTGTAGATTATTTATACCTAAAACTTCTATTCCATTATTCTTGCCTCTTCCTCTGAGGATTATAGACATATGCCATTGCACTTGGCCATCATGGACTTGCAGTTATATTTTTTTAAAGACTCCTAGGACTTTAATTAAATAATGCTCAGTAATGAATACAGCTCTTAAAGACACAACCTCTAGTCGCGGGTGGTTAATGTTTTCACTTACAAATTAATAGCCATAGGGCTGGGGATATAGCTCAGCAAGCACAAAGTCGTGAGTTTGATTCCAAGTACCCTCCCTCTCCGGACCCCACCAAAAAGTCAGTAGCTATGTTTTTCTTGTTTGCATTGAGTGGTTGCGTATCATACCTACTGGGATTCATGTGGAATTCAGGGGAAGATAAATCAGACCAATATCCTCAAACTTTCATGTGTATAGATTTGTTTAATAATAAAGTCATTAGTTTCATTTATTTTGAGGTTGGGTTTTGCTATATTGCCTAGGTTAGTCTCCAGGTCTGGATTTAAGTTATCCTTCTGCTTCAGCCTCCTGAATAGCTGATATGACAGGCATGATCCACTGTGCCCAGCTCAGAGTCATTAATTTTGAAAGACTTCTGCCTATGGCAGAGCCAGGACAGGAGACTCCAGAGAACCCAAGTTAAAAAAGATCAGTCTCCTGAAGACTCTGCACTTGAAGCTTGAAGGTGATTTTTAGGGGGCACAAAACTATAAAACCACTAGGGGTTTTGTTAAGCCGGCCAAGGAAAAGTACTTGAAATTTGATTTTTTTGGATCCAGTAGGCTTGTGTGAGTGTGTGTGTGAAGGAGCAGGGAGGCCCCTGATTGTTTCACGGTTTTGATGGCATTGCTGCCTAGGCATCTTTATAAGGAAAGGTTAGCTTTATGATAATTAATTCCTTTATTCAGCAAGTAGTCATTGAGTACTATATGGCAGGCTTGGTTCTACTTATTGGAAGAATTTTTTTCCCGTGTATTAATTTATGGTGCTATGTAAGACATGTTCTTGCTTCTAGAATCTTGCAGTATAACAAGCTTTATTTCATAAATAAAGGCCATATTATGGATTTAGAAATAAATTAAAAACTTTGACAAGTACAAATTTATTTTGCATTATCACCTAGAGGGAAAATGCTTTCATTGGAAGAATGGCTATGAAGAAGTCATAAAAGATTTATGTGTGAGTGATGGAATGTGAGACCAGTTAATTAGACTTAAAATAACCTTAGTTCTAAGTAGTACCTTTACATCTATTTGAAATTCTCTTAGTGCCTCGTGGCAGCTGATTCTGAGGGGCTTAGCAAAGTACTATTCTGTGGTGTAATTAAACTCTGCAGCTCTTTCCAGTAATCTAGGCATTTATGTTTTTGTGGTTCATCATCTTCATTTCTCCCCTGTGAGTCTGTGTGTGTGTGTGTGTGTGTGTGTGTGTGTAACTGGGTTAAATATGTTTCATAGGATGTGTGTTTCCCATTTTTCTTATTCACTTACTCTTAATATAGAAAGTATTTTCTGTATCTTCTATAATTTTTTTCTATATGTTATGGAGTAACTATATAGTTGATCCTTTGGCTTTGTTTTTCCTATCCTAGATCCAAAGCAGCTTTTTATTAATTTATTTTAAAAAGATTTTTGGTGGTTAACTTTTGGGGGGATAGCAGTAACAGGATGTGACAGATTGGATTCGTGTGCTGATTTCATCTTGCCAGCTAAGTCTTACATGCAGGAGGAATTGGAGGAGAGGAGAAAATGCAGGAATGTTTGGCTGAGTGGTCACAGCTTTGAGAAGAAACATAAAACAGCTAGTGTAGTGGCTGTTTTAGAGGCAGGCTCACTCTCCTGTCCTAAAAACATCTGGTTCTACCAGCTTACTTGAGCTGCCATGGGGACTTCTTACTGCCAGGCTTGTTTCCGAGTTTAGTTGGAAGCACTGCAGGGATGTGTAGACAGACCTCTGTGTCTGCAGTCAGCCAGCAGTCAGCTTCCGCCTTTCCAGCTGATGTTTCATACATATTATAGCTGTTCAGTATTAACATAAGATAATACTCTTAAGTGATCTGCCCCTCAGCCTCTTTTATTTTTGAATTTGTATAGGGAGATCCTCGATTATTATTTCATATTAATATTTTAAAATTGGGGATAGTTTTGTGAGTTTATAAACCTACTTATAGTCATTTGTGTAGCACATGCCTGTAATTTCAGTACTCGGGAGGCTGAGGCAGAAGGATCACTGTGAGTTCCAGGCCAAGCTGGGCTACATAAGCAAGTTCAAAGCTGGCCTACACTACATGGTGAGACCGTGCCTCAAAAATGAAAGTAAAAATAAAAATAAAAATTTTAAAAACCCTATTTATAAAATTGAAAGATTTAGACAACTTAGAAACAATTTAATTCAATGTTTTTAAAGCAAACAGGTTTATTTTGATAGGCTCAAATTTCATGAGTGTTAAGAGATAAAGTTAGTTATAAATTTAAAGTTAATTTTCTTCCAGTGGAATACTTTTCAATATTTTATTCAGAAACTACACATTACAAATGCAAATATTTCGTGAAATAGGGTATACTCACAGTGTGCTTTTTCAGTGAGAGCTTTTTGCTTAAAAGCATTTTCTTTACCATGTATCATAATCTTTTTTATGACCTTTTCACTATAGCCTTAGTGTTTACCTGTAAAAATCTATAGTTACACTTGGCTTAAAAGTTTTTTTTTTTTAAAATATACTGTGAGTCTGGCGTGGAAGTATATGCAGGTAATCCCAAGATTTGAGAGGATGTGGCAGAAGGATTGCCATGAGTTTGAAACCAACCTGGGCTACACAGTGAGATAAACAAAAGGTGATAAGATAATATAAAATGTATCTTTTAAAAAAAAAAAAAACCACTTCAAAGTGTACATTTCGTTTCTGTTAAGCACATTCATATGAGTTATAAATCATTCTAGAATCCATCTCCAGGAC